GATTAATTTTATTAATTTTATTAATTTGTGATGATGCAATGATGGCATAATAATAGCAATATCCTTATAATTTGCAATGAAATTAACATTCGCCGATTGCAGGTAAACAAAATGCAGTGGTGGGCACATGTTATAATGAGTGAACCAGAAATTAGCACAAAGAAAGTAAATCCCGAACCTAGTAAACTCTCCGACCTCGATGGAGAGACAAGAGGCCTCGTGGAGAAAATGATGTATGATCAGAGGCAGAAAGAACTAGGACTTCCAACATCTGATGAACAGAAGAAACAGGACGTCATCAAAAAGTAAATCTCGTCGATGTTTTTCAATACTCACATTTTGAATTAATTAATGAATTGTTACATTTTGTTGAATTTTTCTAGATTTATGGAGCAACATCCTGAAATGGACTTTTCAAAGTGTAAATTCAATTAAAATAATTTAATAACGCGCGCACTTAATAATATTCTGATACTATGCATTGAAATATTTTTGAGATATACATATCTCGCTTTTTATTATCATATTACAATATGCAATCTTCTATCCTCGACGTTTCCATATCGTTGAAGAAGAAAGTCAATGCAATTACAAAGATGGCAGCACAATGATAGACTATGATGCCATATACAGAGTTCTACTAATGCGATTGAAATATTTTTCGATTATGCTTTTCATTTTTGCTTCACTATTTTTTTATATTTTTCTTACTTTTAAAGAAAAGATGCATTGCACAGTTGTCTAATTTCTATATTTGCGCTTCTCTTATCTATCGAGCTCTTTAAAAAAAAGATAGATTAGAATTGTATGAAAAAGATACAACTTTAAGAATAAAAATCATATAACTGTTATATTTTTTCTTTCCCAATGTATTACTTTTAATCGTATTTAAAAATCTAATCGACCCAAATAATTTTTAATTACATTGAAAAATTGTTTATATCAAATGTTTTTCACAATCTTACATAATTTTAAGTTATAATTGTATTTGGATTTTGACCTTCAAAATGAAAAAAAAAATCGTTTAATTATGTTAACTTTAATCAAAGATATACATTTCATTCCCTGATTTCTTGTTTATATATATATATATATATATATATATATATATATATATAATGACATATATAT